TTTTTTTTTTTTTTTATGGTTCGTTTCTGTTTTGGCGCGCAGCCTTTGGAGTAGCTGAATGGAAAACAGAAAAAGAATCCGACCCGAGAGCACCCATGAACTGTTGAAATACAGACCCCTTTAAGGGCCTCACCACACCACTCTTGAAAATGGGAAATGTCTCAAGAGTTGTCAGATTTTCTCAAGAGTCCGTGTTTCAAGAGTTTCGGGCTCTTCGCCACACAGACCTCTTGACAAATGGACTCTTGAGAAAAGGCCCTGGCCGCTGGAGGACTTTCAAGAGTTGTGTGTGGCGAGGAGGCCGACTCTTGAGAATTGCTAACCGGCGGCGTGGGACAGACCCGAAATCACAAGAGTCGACTCTTGAAAGCGGAGGCCGAAATCACTGACCGCTGTCAGAATTGAAGACCTGACAGCTCTTGAGAATCAAGCGTCCGGTAGACATATCCAGTGTTGCAGGCGGGGATTTCGGGTTCCTCAAGAGCGACTCTTGAACTCGCGTTCTGACAGCGCATGAATTTTTTTTCCGATCCAAGCTCTCAAGAGGCGGTGTGGTGTGGCGGCACCGCAACTCTTGAAAACTCTTTCTCAAGAGTGGTGTGCCGAGGCCCTAAGTTCGAATCCAGATGCATTGGAACTTGATGATTAAAACCAGGTACTAATGAATTGCTTGGGGCCGGTCAGCTCAATGATAATATCTCAAGGCCGTCGCCCTGAAAAAAAAAAAATCCGGAGACAGAGTCCCACTAGCAAAGAGGACTGGATTTAAGCGCCCGAATGTAGACGTGTTTCGCGCGGAGATGCAGAATAGCAGATCAATACGATTGTCTGCACCTCTGGACAAAGCCGTCCAGATTCAGGCGTTTAATTCAATTCTCTTTGCTACCGTAGTGGGACTCGGCCCCGCGCTGTTCCGTTGTCACTCGGCGAGGGTGCATTCCGGCGGCACTCTGGGCCTCCACATGAACAAAACACAAAAAATATGCCGTCGATGTATCTTTCCATGTTCTAGCAGAGGATTCATTCTCATTTTGCCCATTTGGAGACCAGTGGAGCGGGCCCCTCCGTGTCACACACACACGCAATTCGCCTCATCGCCAGCGGCCTTGTTGTCGCACACACAGAATCCGGCTCCTCGCCATCGCCCGTCATGGCCAAACCCAGCGCAGCGCATACCCTCGCCTCCCTCTTGGCGGTAACGACTCTTCGGCCTCAGGCCATACATACTCACACCAGGACATTTTTACTTATTTCTGGACGGAAATGCGGCCAGATACATCCAGTTCCGAAGATAATTACGGTCAGATACATTCAGGAGAGTGGTAGTGTGAGTACGCCCTCAGTCGCACTCTGCGCGCGCGGTTCTTCCTCACGCGAAGTGGTCCCCACTCAAGACCACAACCGTCTCGGGAGTGCGCACTTTCCACACAGGTAAAGACGCTACCCCCCCAACCCCTAACCCTACGCTCCCAACCCATAGCCCTACCCTCCCAACCCATAACCCCACCCTCCCAACCCATAGCCCTACCCTCCCAACCCATAACCCTACCCTCCCAAATAGAGTTATGCCCACCAGTTGTGCTTAGTCCGGCTGGCTACCCGTAGTCGACCAGACGTCGAGCTAAGCAGCGATGGCGGCGAGAAGTTAGTTGCAGCTCGACTTGACTTGCAGGTGAGGGTGAGCCTTTTTTTTTTTTTTTTTTTTTTTTTTTTTTTTTTTTTTTTGGGAGAGCTGTTCCCTCACAAGACCCCACTCATTGCACCTCTCGAGGGGATCCCCTCTTCTATAGTTTTTTTTTTAATTATCAGTGCTTTTGACTGTCTTCCCCTTCCTTTTTCCGTCTGTTTCTTTTGTCTTCTTCCTTCCTTTTTTGTAATTTCTTTCTTGATTTAACCCTCCCCCCCCCC